TATAAACACTCTCAGAACTGCGTGTTTCATGCCTTTCACTTAGCAAAGTCATGCCAGCACTGCTTAAGTTCAACATCCTGGCGCTATACCCATCCTGCTCTCTCTTCTTCATCTTATGAGCGTCATGTTTTTGCTTTGGTTTGCTAAATATAAATTATAATGTGAGCCAGGACAGGAAGTACAAGTAAAGAAGTAATATATTTGCCACCGTACATCCCAGGGAGAGAAGCAGGCGCACTTGTTCTTGATCAAATACATCTATGATAACACAATATTATGCTCTCTGTTTCCCAAAAATGACAACATAAAAGCCATAATAATTTAAATATTAGTTTACTGAAAGTGAAAATAGCAAAAACAGCGCTGTCCATCCTCCGAGGCCATTAAAAATACTCACAAGTGCCATCGTGATTGTTAATATTCCATATCAGTGGCTTATTGCCATTCAAAGCAATGGTGGGAAACCTTGCATCTGTGGGATTAGGGACTTCGACATGTATTTCCCACGTTTGAAGCACGCTGTCCCTGTTTCGCAGTCATCTATTGCAGAGCAGAAGTTGCATCTCTTTCCCTTCTGTCTCCTTGTGTTGGCTTCTTGTGTGACGTGTTGATCGGGGCCAGGCTCAGATTGCTGTGCTGCCATTGCCACTGCTGCTAAAGCTCCCACGCGGGGAAGATGGTGTCATTTTTGCATGCAAAGAGTCATGAGGGCCTTTGACATAAATGTTTCCTTTGCTGCCTCAGAGCTATCTTCATCTTTCATCTTGGAAGATTAGGTGAAGCGTTTCTTGAACAGAAAATCTTGATGTTATAACTTTCCCACTCTTAAATTCACAGCTCAGATGAATTTATTTTATACTAATATTTACTTATATGTAAAACCCCTCATTAGATCTCTGTTTTAATCTCAGACTAGGATAAAAGACTGTAACGTGTTAGATTATTTTGTTACATATTGTGTTTGTGTCATGGCCGTCTCTGACGTCTGACTTCTGTTCCTCATGTGCATCATATGTGATCAGTCCTGTGCTGTTTTACTATTTCACTGTTTTGAGACTCACCCATAACACTTCAAAGACCTTTAGGTGCCTGTCATTGGAACCTAGACACATGCAGTGAGAACACAGACAGTTCTTGTGACAGTGTCAAGGTAACTCTTGAACTCTGTTATCACTGTCCCTTAAAAATGTTACAAAGACATGGCATGTACAGTTTTCAGAGTTTCAAGAATCCTCAAACTCGTTGATTTTCGTTCAGTCAAACTGAAACAGCCTCAGTGTACAAATATTTTTACCACCTTTAAAACTGTATAAAATGTTTTATTAATATCATATTTGAGTTTTAAGCCATCAAATTTCAGAATAAAAGAAGTACACCTAGTTTTTCTGGTGTCAAAAAACAAAACAGGTCCAATTTGTCCCAAAAAGCATGCAAAGGTTAAAATGAAGAAGGCGCTTGTGTCGTTAAATTTATATGTGGACATAACTCTATTCACAATTCATCTTAATCTGTATTCCAGTTTAATTAAACCATCACTGCATACAAATAACATAAATGCTAAAAAGTATGCAATTCATAGTAAATACTTAGGATTAAAGCATTTTTATTACCAAATATGGTAGGTTCACCTGAAGAAATCCAATTTGAAAAAACTGAAAAAAAAAAAAACCTCCCACCCAGAAGATTGTAAACTGTTCTTAAACTGTCTAAACTGATCTCTCTTGTCCTTTCAGAGCCTGCATCATCCAGGGGTGGTCAACCTGGACTGTATGTTTGAGACACCAGAGCGAGTGTTCGTGGTCATGGAGAAGCTTCATGGAGACATGTTGGAGATGATCCTGTCCAGTGAGAAAGGCCGACTTCCTGAGAGGATCACAAAGTTCCTGGTGACACAGGTGATACTTTGCCTCGATTATAACATCACCCTGTCTGACCCTAACTGTAAAAACAAAGTCACAGAGGTTTGGGTCCATAAATTTAGCCTTTGTTAAGAAAAATCCAGTGACAACATCCAGGACAAATGGTAAATGAACTGAATCTTATATAGCGCTTTTCTACTCTCCCGGAGTACTCAAAGCACTCTGTACAACGCCTTC